AAGTCATAATTCTGGGACATTTTCATACATCCGTTAAGTTTTCTGTCAGGACCTCAATTAATTGATGATGTGTCGCCCACTTGGACAATGATTGAGCGCCACGTTTCAATATGGGCCTATGTGAATATTAAAAAAATTAAAGTTTTTTCTTTCTTTTCTAGGCATCCTACTTCCCTCGGACCCTCTCCCCTCATTCTCCCTCCATTCTTTGCACCCACCCTCCCTGCACACCCACTATCTGCCCTGCTCCTCTTCCACCTATCTAGGTATGACATAGGCCTTGCCGCCGCACAAATGGGTCGGCGTTATCGAAGGTCAGCCGCAGGTGGCGGTGGATCAACGAAGTCAATAGCGGATCGGCGTTTAGGAGATAGCGAATCGCAGTCTCGATTGCTGAACTATCTTAATCTTGGAGGCCATGGTGACGGTGAAGGGTTTGGGGGATTCAAATACGGCAACTATCTGATGGGAGGAATTGGGTGAAGAGGGTGGAGGAGAGAGAAGAGAGGGGAGGTGAAAAGGGTGGGGGTGGGTACCGTATAGAGGTTGGGTGGGTGCAGAGGAGAGAAGGGAGGGAGCAAGGTAGATGTGTGGGTGTGCAAGGAGGTGGGTGTAGGGAAAAGAAGGGAGGGAGAATGAGGGAGGGTGTAATATCCCACATCGCCGGAAGAGGGGAGGTGATGTGCCTAATATGTATATGTCCACCTCCCTACAGTAAGACGCATTTTGGGTGGAAGCCCAAGAACAAAATCGTGAGGGCATAGCCCAAAGCGGACAATATCTTACTTTGCGGACTGGGATGTGACAATTTGGTATTAGAGTCACTGCCCAGCCGAAAGTGTGCCGACAAGGGCGTCGAGCCCCTAAAGGGGTGGATTGTAAGATCCCACATCATCCGAAGGAGGGAAGGTGATGTGCTTTATATGTACATGCCCACCTCCCTATAGAAAGACGTGTTTTGGGTGGAAGCCCAAGAACAAAACTGTGAGGGCATGGCCTAAAGCGGACAATATCTTACCATGCGGACTCGTGAGGGCGTGGCTCAAAGCGGACAATATCTTACCGTGTGGACTAGGATGTAACAAAGCGAGGCGGGAAGGGTGAGGCAGGATGCCCAGAAAAGATTTTTTTTTTAAATTTCCATGTGGACCCATATTGACACGTGGCATCCAGTCATTGTCCACGTAAGTGCCACTTCATCAATTAACTAATGTTCTGACGGAAAACTTAACGGATGTATGAAAGTGTTCCAGAATTATGACTTTAAGTACCAAACTGGGACAAAAAAAACTTTATGTATCAAAGGTTGAAAATCAAGAAATTTTAGGGTAGTAAACTAAGATTAACCCCCTAGAAGAAACAATACCATTCTTTAAGTAGTCTTCCGCCTTCGGCAAGTGCCCGGATTTGAACCGTTTTGCTTCTGCTAAAATGCATTGCACAGAATCCTCCACTGCACGTGATAGTAGAATTAACTATCTGTTAAGCCTTCTCTTGAACAAACTAGTAATTAAATTTCATGACACTAACCGGTTTAATATATTACCTTCTTAAACGAATGTAATGGGTACCACCCATGCTTTTGATAGAATTTGCAGCTGATTTCATTCGTCATATTGTAAAGAGACTTGAAATATATGTTCATGTAGTCCGGTTTAAGTGCTCTATAGCACCAATTTCGCATCTGCAGCGTAACATTTACTGATCAATTCACGGTGAAAACTGGTGAAGCCAATTAAGAAAGTACAGGACATTTTATTGTTTACATATTGACAGCCTCAGTGAAGAGAGTAAGTTCATCAAGCGTCTCGTACATCGAAAATGTCATCAATAAATGGTTTTGTGAACTGAATCCTCTCCTCTTACAGGTTAGGATCTGTTGAGCGCAAACTACAGTTCCCTAGGCAGTCCCATCTCTTTCCATCACCTAATTATTTTGTTGGATGAAATAAACAGACAAATTAGGATTTCTATAGTGCAGTTAACCGTATTGTTTACATGCGGATATATTCTTGATATTGATGATATTGTTGGTACTTCGACCTTGTAGATATGTGTACAACATGGTTGGCGATAAATTGGACAACATTTTTAAGAAGTGCTGTTAAATGCACGATGTCAGTTAATTTTGGAAATTTGAATATCTACTTCTGATGTATGGACTGAACCAAATTAAAATCCGTTTTGCCACATCCTGTAGCATATTTAGCCATCTATTGTTCATGCCAGCTTGGGAATTAGTAACAAAAAAGTGGCCATGAATGTGGCCAAGCTTTTGTGATGGGGGTACTCCAGTGTGTTCCCCACAACTCTGGCCTAATGAGGACCAGGATAGGACAATGATCTATTTACGAGATCACTACTCAATTTTCCAGCTTCATCAAGTGCATCTTCTCCTTCCCTGCTTAGCTGTAAAGCTTCGTACACACTCATCAATCCCTTGACCTCTTAACTAATTAACGTTTTCTTAAAATGCTTCCTTCGCTTTCCTTCAAGTTGTTGACACATCTATTAATAACAAAAGTTATAATTGGGAGTGATTGACTGATACTGAATATCAATCTGCAATACTAAGTAAATATAAGAACAAATTGTTACCGAAATTTTAGTTATACTCACCCTCGGACACGAAGTGACCATGTGGCCATAACAGAAGGGCAACTTCATGAAGGTCATTTTGTTGATGAGAAAGGCCAGGAGCTGATAGATATGATTAGGTCAATTTGTTCTTCGATAGTGGTAATCTATACCTAGACGTTGAACAACATCGATCATGTTCAAACTTTCGAGCGCGCCTTCTACTCCTACTTTGCTCAATACATTCCTGAATGCCTCCAACTTTTATTCATGTCAGAAACGGCATGTCATCCTGCAAGCAAAGTGGAGTTATTTGAAGAGTGGACATAGGTTTGGATATAAATAGCTGAATGAGATCAGAGTGCCCAAGAAGTAGGATCTTTTTTTGAGCAATATTTGGAGTGGAGATAGCAAAGATGGCCTGAGAAGAAAATGCCATAGAGGGAAGAGTACAAGGTATGTACCTCGTTTAACAAGTGTTTAAATTTGTTGGCATTCTTCGGCACATGTATCTAACCAGGGCCGGAGCCAGATAGATGTAGGTGGCCCTGACCCTCTCGCACCATTTGAGCAAGCATACATTATTCCTTGATTTGCACAAGTTGTTCATCATTCAATGTTACTTTTATATTATATGTTTTGCCTATCAGCCCCCCACACATAAAATTTTGGTTCCGTCATTGTATCTAACTGTTAAATTAAAAAATCTATGTTATACTTAAATATATTTTAGAATTTTCACTTTTTTACATAACTTTGAAAGAATTTTTATTCCATGCATCAACCTACATTGCTCTTAATATATTGAGAGTATGAGTTCCCACATTGAGAATATAAGAGACCTTATATGTGTTTATAAGGAATTAGGCTACATTTGATACTTTCAAGGAATTTTTTTTGAAATGTCATATGAACTTGTTCATATTTTCAATTTGTTATATAAACTAAATTTTAAGCAATTTGTTATACCAGCTTTACAAAATCATTAATTTGTCATCTCACCCCAACTCCCGTTAAGTTTTCCATCCAATATAAGTCAAGTGCCTCACACAAGACTTTTGTTCGGGGTTATTTCGGTCATTTTAACATCTTTTCACAAGTATTTTACTTTTCTTTAGTACAAGCACTTAAATTTTTTACTTTTCTTTAGCACATATGCATCTACAACCCCATTTATGGCACAAAACGTCAACATGTTTCTCATTTATAGAGCCCGTATGAAATTATTTCTTAGTGACATGCTAAAATGCAAACTCCCACTTGTGTATCATTACATATTTGGAATAACCAGAAGATAGTACATTGCGTGATCATTCATTGCTATCATATAAATTTAAACACTTGTGTATCATTACATATTTAGAATAACCAGAAGATGTCATTTTTTTATAAGGAAACATCAACGGTATGAGATAATTCTTTTTACCTGATTATGTCATATTCTCAAAGGGTGCGGAGAAAGAAATTGTTTGATTATGTCATGAATTCCCCAATTCGGATACTTAATATCTTCGTGGTATTTATGTAAAGAAACAAATAATGTTTGCATACATGAAGAATAGTAAGGGTTGGTTTGGTATTGTTATGCTTTGAAAAAAAAACTTTTTCTGCTGTAATGTAAAAATAAGCTCACTTTTGTTACTTTACGTTTTCAGCTTTTTTTTTCACTCAAAACTGTGAAAATAAGGTGTTTATAAGTGTTTACCAAACACATTTTTGAGCTTAGCTTTTTTTTATACCCACTTTTTATAAAAACATCTCAGTACCAAACCAGTACTAAGAGAGATTGTTGAGAGAAAGAGGAAGCTTGAAGAGGAAGAAAAGGTTATATATATTTTCAGTAGTGAATTACAAAGAGTACATTTGGTTATATATCTGTTGTTTTAGTAACTAAGTCAACTCAACAACCGTATAACAATCTTAACAGCCTTATAATAGATTCCCTAATCTACTGACACATGGCACTTTATACATCCATTGATCCTATATTGTTATCATCCCTCATCAAGCTCAGGAAAGGAAGCACCAAGCCTGAGATTGCAGCAATGTGTATGAAAAAATGGTGTACACGATTCTTTTGTCAAGATATCATCAAACTGTTCATTTGATGAGACAAATTGCATACATAAAAGTTGTTTAGTAACCCTTTACCTGACAAAGTGAACATCAATCTCTATATGCTTTGTCCTTTGATGCATGACTGGATTACATGTAAGAGCGATGCCATACAAGTTATCACAGAACAATGTAGAAGGAATAGGCACTGGAATCTGCAGAAAAACAAGTAATTGTCTAATCCAATCAATATCAGTTGTTGTGGAGGCAATGTAACAACCTGTCCCATAATTTACGGAACGAATGGGCATTTTTATAATGTCACTAAGTTTGGGATATTTATTTTAAAAATTGTTTTGGGTCTTAATGTGTGTGCCTGTGGGGCCCACTTGTTTTGGTTTTGTTCTCCGTAGCCTTAGTCCATCTCTCTCCTTTTTTTCTCCCTCATCCCATGTGAACTCATCTCCCTCACCTCTGCCGGTTTTCCTTTACCTCTCTCATTCTCGGTGCTCATCTTCGACAGGATCACACATTACATACACACGACAACCCCGAGGACTTCACCAGCACCCCTAACATCTAGACCTCCTCCTTTCTCTCTCTCTTTCCCTTCGATACATCTCGGCACTATACAGTCACAGTGCTTGTGACTCCGGCGAGTTTTCAAATATTCCGACTAAGGTAAGCACCATAGACCTCTATAGATTATGTTTTCAAGTAGATTAAAATGTTTTGAGACATTTTGGGGTGGTATAAATGTAGAGATAACTCGGGGGATTATATTTCCAGTTTTCCAGCAAGGTTCTGTGGCTTGCAGGCCATTTCCCGGCCGATCCTGATGTCAACTTCATTCCATTTTGGTACAACTCGAATCCTTATTCTCTTACCTTTGATTTGGCCTTTTAATGGTAGTTTTTGGTTAAGGTTTAACCCCGGATCGAAGCCAGGGAAGTTTTCTCAGCGAAAACTCAAGAAAACCAGCGTTCTTCTCCGGTGACTCAAGCGGCTTGCGAGGCCCTTGTGCCATGGAAACCCCCGGCCCTTTAAGGGTAGCCCAAACCCAAACCCCTTGAGTTGAGGCGCTTGGGCCATTCAGCTAGGGCCTTCGGCCCATTAACCTAAAACCCAAAACCCTTTTGGCAACCTAGGCCTTGGGTTGTGTAAGAATCCCAGGCCCAAACCTCTTAAAGCTCAACCCTTTAAAAGCCTAACCCAAACCTTGGAAAGAATCGGCCCAACCCAACTGATGGAATATTCCTTTAGGGAATATTCCCCTGTTGACTTTTCTGAAATTTAACCGGGACCCTTTTTAGCGTAATTCGACGTCCTGAATTCGTTTTTGATGTCCATTTTCCTAAATTCAATCATTTGAATAGAGTTTTATTGATTGGACCCTTTATGTGCTTAGGTACAATTATTAACGGCGATTCTATCCAGCTTACTTCATGCAGCTCTTCGACAACGGAGTATCTGTGAATGGACCCCTTCTAAAATGCATGTTTTAATAGTAGAAATGCATACATGAAAAGCATGATTTAATAATTACGTTTTATGAAACGTTTTATGAGATATTATGCTTACTACGAATATTTTGAATTATCATATTTTATCGAACTCATGTTCTTTGTAGTATAGATGATAGATGACTTTATACTGCTTATGAACATGCTTTTGCACACTTCTTTATAGTATAGATGATGGATGACTTTATACTATGAAGATGTTTTTGAGATATATATACCTATGTTTGGAAAGTTTATGTACAATGGTTTTGTGCTTATCTAGTGGTCACTATACCGCCACAGGCAAGGATTATGGTTGTTGGCTGCGGGTCGAGAGAAATAATCTCTGGCTTCAGGCCGAGAGACATGGAGCTGGCATTGGGCCAAGAGAAATAATATCTGGCTATGAGCATAGAGACATAAAAGTTGGCATTGGGCTAAGAGATATTATTATTGGATACCACTATTTATCACACTATATACGAGATATGTTTTATAAAAGATTTTATGGCATGCTAGGGTTTTCGGAAAACCTATTACATATTATACTATTGAGTTTTCATAAAACTTTGGGGGTTAATACGTTGAATAACTGTTTCAATATTATATATATATATATATCAACTTGGTCCACTCATGTTGTATTACGCCCCCTCAGAACTTAGATTCGAGGTGTACAATCCTAGCGTCAGGGCACTCCCGCATCAGCATCTTCGAGTCCTCTCAGTGTATGACTCACCTCTTGGTTCATTCAATTTCATATTATTCCTTGTTAGTGTTTAGGATTAGTTGTATGCTCTGAACACATTCCTCATTTGCATAATCATTGTATTTAAATTCATAACTTTTATTTACATTCGATGTTCTCATGCATCCTAATATGGCCTCATCACCTTCGGGTGTTGGCCAGTACGTGCCTACCCTGGTCTTCAAGGAATATTGGGGTCGGGCGTGTCAAGCAATGACTTTATATTCAGTCTCAATAAAGAATTGAGAAATTGTGTTCTGTTTATTGGAAGACCAAGAGATAGTAGGATTATACCCCAAGAAAACTACAAGTCCAGTTGTTGACGTTCTGTCATTAGGGTATCTAGCCCAATCAACATCACTAAATCCATGTAAATCTAAGACACCTTTAACAAATTGAATACCATTGTTCTGTGTACCCTACAAATACCTAAGTATCCTTTTTACAGCGAGAAAGTGAGACTCCATTGGACAATGCATGAACTGACAGACTAGATGCATTGAGAATGCAATATTTGTTCTAGTAAAGGTAAGGTACTGAAGTGCCCCTACAATACTTCTGTATAATTCAAGATTGTTCCCATCATCTTTGAGCAATATGTTATATGACACATTTCTGTTTTTGTAAGTAAATCAGACACGATCTTAGCTTGAGAAAGAAACAACCCCTCTTAATTCTAAGTAATCTAAATGCCAAGAAAGTGTCCCCAAGTCTTTAATATCAAATTCCTTAGTCAAGGCAGCAATGACCAGGTTGCTAAGACTGTTATAAGTTGTTGAGTAACAGAAATATCTTCAATTGTTTTTTGTAATGACCACACAACGATTTTGCATTGTAGGTAAAAAGCTCAATTCAATAAATCAAATATTGTAACCAATCACGTGACATGACAAACAATTAATATATAGTTTGACTAATTTATAATCACATGACATCTAAAATTATGCATTAGTTTTAGAGAAATTCCTCCATAAAACTACTAAATGTTGGGGCCACATATTTCCCCCAAATTCATGTGGACAAGCTATTCATGATCCAGCTGGTTGATGAAGTTGAGAGTATGAACTTTATACCGAAAAACTAAAGTCTCACTTCTTGGATATTTTTATTCATTGTTAATCAATTTTTAGTTGGATGGCCACATAATAGTTTAGTTTGTAACAACTTAGCAAATCTCGGCCCTTCAACAACTAGGATATTTTTTTCTTTCAGAAAATAAAACAACTGAAGAGCATCAAATTAATCTCTTCATTTTGCATTCTCCCTTCCGGTAGCGATTCACATGCCTTGCACTTATGTTCTAGTTGTTTATTCCTTGCTCAGTAGGATATTAATGTATTATAAACTAGCTAGGGTAATTCTATTTGTACCCATTGCACGTAAGAAATCGAAATCAAACCAACTTCATGCATGAAGCATCGATTTCATGTACTCGTCAAGAGATGGAAGGCACTGGTTGTCGTCGTAGCTGTACATCAATGGCACCATTCTTGCGAGATTTAGGGAAGCCTTTGTGAATGCCGCGGGAAGTGGATTAGGAGACACCAATTCTTTGTTCAGCTTCTTCCATTCTTCTGAAATCATATTTGTAACATGTTCTTGTGCTTCCTCCATGGTCTTGCCTTGATGTTCATTTAAATACAACTTTACATATGACCCGTCGTCCCCATCTTGATTCTCATCCTACAATCAGTACGACGATAAGAAAATCTGACGTGCTCTATGTGCGTATATATACATGCATGCTACAAATTTTGATGGACAAATATATATATAGCTTTTCTGTGATGGAGTCGGCCAAGACATCGACCACACATGATATAGAACCTCATAAGCAGGGATGAATAGGCATTTAGTTAGTAGGGTGCTTGATATAAATGATACTATAAATATGTAGTTACCTTGGCACTTCCCAAGTCGTCCCAAAGCCGAAGAATTGCTGCCGTTGAAGATATAATGGCTGGAGTGCCATTCAAGAACTCCACACTTTGATTGGTTATACCTTCACCCAACAGAAAGAAAATGTGGACCATCACCACATTCACCCCAGAAGAAATAATTCCATTCTTCAAGTACTCTTCAGCCCTAGGCAAGTGCCCAGATTTGAACCATTTTGCTTCCACTAAAAATGCATTGCACAGACTAGCCCACTGCACGCAAACAAATAGAATGAATTAAGCTATAATTAAGCCTTTCTTAATATGCTAGTATATAATTGTCACGACATTAATCCAGTTAGATAGATATACTTAATAATAAGGCAATACTACAGTTTACATATATATATATACCGTCTTCTTTAGCGAATGCAACGAGTTCCATCCGTGCCTTTGATAGATCTTACAGCTGATTTCATTCGTCATATCGTAAAGAGCCTTGAAGCATATCTTCATGTAGTCCGGTAAGTGCTCTATAGAACCAATTTCCCATCTGTAGCATAACAATGTTCTTGTCAGTTCACTGTGAAAAGTAGTGAAATTAATTAAGAAGTTACGGGATGTTTTAATTATTGCTACCTATTGACAACCTCCGTGAAAAGAGTGAGTTCATCAAGCGTCCCGTAAACGTCAAAAATGTCATCAATCAAATAGATAAATGAGATAGGTTTTGTGAGCTCAATCCTCTCATCTGACAAGTTTGGATTTGTTAGGCAAGCCATGGACCAAATGTACCATTTAATAGGTTGGTCTCTTGCAAACTTCAACTCCTTACACAATCCCAGCTCTTTCCACCATCTAATTAAGTTAATTGAAACAAATAAACATTGATTAGCAACTGGTTAATTTATTAAATATAGAGACAACAATTGAAGATTAAGGTGCTATTTTCCAATAAAGTTACTTACTTGGAAACTTGAGCAACTTCTTTCTGGTGAAGGGACTGGACCATATTTAAATCTGTTTTTGCTACAGTTTGTAATATATTTAGCCATCTATTATTTGTTCCTTGGAAGCTAGAGAGACAAAAAAGTTCTTGGCCATGAATGGGGCCAAGCTTTTGTGATGAGGATTTCTCAATGTGTTTCCAACAACTCTGGCCTGGTGATGATCGAGATGTGACAGTGATGAATTTAGGAAATGGCCACTAAACTTTCCAGCTTCTTCAAGTACAACTTCACCCTCTATACTTAGCTGTGAAGCTTCATACAAACTCATCAACCCCTTGATGTCTTCCCTTAACATTTGATTGAAATTTCCTTCTCTGTTCTTGAAGTTGTTAAACACATCTATATTCACACGATAAACACACTAGTTATCAAAATATCGAAATTGTATTGAGTCAATTTACTGGTACCGAATACCAATCTATATTACTGAATTATAGTTAACACTCACCATCAGAGACGAAGTAACCATGCTGCCTGAGTAGTCGAAAGCGGAGAGCGACTTCATGTAGGTCGGTGGGATGGTGAGCACCATGAGCAGTAGTACTAGATATTATATGTTGCTTTTGGAGAATTTGGTCAATTTCTTCTTCAAAGTGGTAGTCTAGACCTAGCCGTTGAACCGCATCGATCATGTCCAAACTTTCAACTGCTTCTCCTCCCACTTTTATCAATGCATGCCTTAAGTCGTCCAGTTTTTGTTCATTCTGGAAACAAATTATGCCATCCTGCGGACAAGGAATTGAAGAGAGTCGATTTTCAACCATGTATGTACATGTGTGTGTGTGTGAGAGAGAGAGAGAGAGAGAGAGAGAGAGAGAGAGAGAGAGAGAGAGAGAGAGAGAGAGATGATTTTTCTTACCTTAGATGAAGTATACTTCGTTTTGGAGTTAAGCGGTTTTAAGGGAGTAGAAAGCAAACTGTTATCTTCGGGGATGCTCCATTTTTGAGAACTAAGGTATTCCGGAGCAGCTGGAGTAGAAGACGAGGTCGCAAAGGAGGACTGGGAAATAGAAAATTCCATATTTCTGTATGTGTAATCAACTCCCAGAGTAGTAGAAGGCGAATAGAGAAAATAAGATGTTTTTCGCTCTTCTTGATCTCTCAATTTATAATCGCCATGAAAATCGATTTTCGCTATACTTCGAGAGCTAGCACACTAATTTGCACGTTGATTTAGAGTTTTTTTATTCGCGCTTTTGTTTTTTTTTTGTTTTTTTTTTTTTGTTGAAAAATCAAACGTACTAGTAAGGGTCCAAGAAAGAATAAAAAGTGTACCAAACGTGAAAGTTGTGCTATTCGGCAACTGGAAAGCGGATTCCTATTATTATGAAACAACTTTTGATTCCTTAATACCTAGGTACTTGTCACTAGTGAATATTTTATGTACTCATTGTATTTATTTGGCTTAATAAAAAAATATCGCGTGGGTTTTGTTTTTCAAAATAAAATAAAAATAATAATGAACATGTCATTATTTTTTAATCACTAAAACAGTATACCCAAGTATTATCCAAGCATGTCTCAAACCCTATAAGGGCATCAATATTGATGGAAGCCTTCAAACACATTTTCCCA